TAGATAGATAGATAGATAGATAGATAGATAGATAGATAATAGGTAGAGATAAGAAGATAGAAAGATGATAGAGATGAAGATAGAAGATGGATGGATAGATAGATAGATAGGAAGATAGATAGATAGGAAGATAGATAGATAGATAGATAGATAGATAGATAGATAGATAGATAGATAGATATGAGGATAGAGAGAGATGGATAGAAATAGATAGCATAGAGATGAAGATAGAAGATAGGTAGATATATGAATATAGATTAGAGATAGATGAAGATAAAAGATAGATCTTCATAGAGAGATCATAGAGAGATATAAAGATAGAAATAGAAAGATATAAAGATAGAAATAGATAGATGATAGAGATGAAGATGGAATATGGATGGATGGGTAGATAGATAGATAAAGATAGATGATTGATAGATATAGATAGATAGACAGATGACAGGTAGAGATATGAAAATAGAAATAGATGATAGATGAAAATAGAAGATGGATGGATAGATAGATAGATAGATAGATAGATAGATAGATAGATGATAGATGACAGATTGAGAGAGACAAAAGATAGTCAGACAGACAGATTTATCGATATGTTTAGTCTGCCATTTAGACCCCTCCCCCTTTCCCCAGAATGCAAGAGGGAGGGGCTCCCTGTCCCTCTTCTCTCAGCTGAGGCCGTCATCGAAACATCCCTTTGCTCCTCCTGATGGACATCTTGACATTCTGCCATTTCTTTTCTAGCCCAAGTTTTTTTTTTCTTACCTCTCCTCATTCTGCTTCTTGCAGGTACTACAGTCCTGACGGGGAGACAGATACGAGGAGTAGCTGCCTCCCTTGCCTGTCTGCCCCCCGGGGGGCACCCGAATGCCAAGGTGAGAGCAAAGCAGTGGAGGAGGCTGCCCTGGCTGGATTCCAAGAAACAAGGGCCTCTTTAGTGCCCTGAGCGTGCAAAGTCCTGTGGGATGTGATAACCGTGTACCGTCAGAATTAGCCCTTTTCAAGCACAGGTAGTCCTCAGTTTATGACCACAATTGAGCTCAAAATGTCCCTTGCTAAGCAAAACAGTTGTTAAGTGAGATTTTCTCCGTTTTATGACCTTTGGTAATGACCCCAAGGGGCGTGGCACAAAGGCAACCCAGTCAGATAATCAGTAGGAGTCTCTTTATTATCTCCAACTTTGCCCCCAGTGTCCAGGTTACCTTCTGGGTTGGAGAAAAACTCTCCCAGGAACAGCCTTTGGCTGCAGAAAATTAAGTCCAAAACATGGTCAACGCAAACTGTAACTTAAAATCCAAACAAGCCACACTGAAGGAAATTAGTCTGACAGGGCAGGAGCAAGAATCCCAGACGTGAAGGCATGGCAGTAATTCAACACGGTTATTAATAATGGATAAATAATTTGAAATAGGTACCTAATATTATATTTTATACACACACACACACACACACACATAAACTAAAAAAAAAAACCAGTGAAGTCTTCTCGATGACCTTTTTAAGTCTTCTTCTCCCGACTCTTCTCGAAGGCTCCGGAAAACGTCCAGCCCGCCTGACCCGAAACGCCGAGCCCCACCCAAGACACGGCGAGAAGTTGGCACTGAATGGCACCCGGGATGGGAAGCCGGATGAGAGCGCGACGCAATATGCAGTGCTGGCCATCGTCCCCGTCTTCTGCATTATGGGTCTGCTTGGCATCCTTTTCTGCAACCTGCTGATGAAAAAGGGGTACCACTGCACGGCCCGGAAGGAGACGGATGAGGAGGCCACTAAATCAGACCGAACCGGTGAGCGGAGGGGATACCGCTTGTGTGAAGCGTGAGGTCTCTTGGACAACCAATGGCAATGTGTTCTGACCTAAGGCTTCCTTAGGAAGCATAAAACACAACCTTAGTTCCGGCAAAACCAATTTTTATTTCCACGGCTGTGAATTACATTCATTCCCGGCCTGCAAGGTTTCACAAACAGTCTTCCAGGGGGATGTTTATAAACACCCACCTTATCGCACTGATAGAGATGATAGAGATGAAGATTAGATGGATGGATGATAGATAGATAGATAGATAGATAGATAGATAGATAGATAGATAGATAGATAGATAGATAGATAGATAGATATGAAGTTAGAAGATAGAGATAGATAGATAGATAGATAGATAGATAGATAGATAGATAGATAGATAGATAGATAGATAGATGATAGATAGATAGATAGATAGATAGATAGATAGATAGATAGATAGATAGAGACAGATGATAGAGATGAAGACATGAAGATTAGATGGATGGATGATAGATATGAAGTTAGAAGATAGAGATAGATAGATAGATAGATAGATAGATAGATAGATAGATAGATATGAAGATAGAGATAGGCAGATGATAGAGATGAAGATAGATATAGACAGATGATAGAGATGAAGATAGAGATAGGCAGATGATAGAGATGAAGACATGAAGATTAGATGGATGGATGGATGATAGATAGAGATGAAGTTAGAAGATATAGATAGATAGATAGATAGATAGATATGAAGATAGAGATAGGCAGATGATAGATATGAAGATAGAGATAGGCAGATGATAGAGATGAAGATAGAGATAGACAGATGATAGAGATGAAGATAGAGATAGGCAGATGATAGATGAAGATAGAGATAGGCAGATGATAGAGATGAAGACATGAAGATTAGATGGATGGATGGATGGATGATAGATAGAGATGAAGTTAGAAGATATAGATAGATAGATAGATAGATAGATAGATAGATAGATAGATAGATAGATATGAAGATAGAGATAGGCAGATGATAGAGATGAAGATAGATATAGACAGATGATAGAGATGAAGATAGAGATAGGCAGATGATAGAGATGAAGATAGAGATAGGCAGATGATAGAGATGAAGATAGAGATAGGCAGATGATAGAGATGAAGATAGAGATAGGCAGATCATAGAGATGAAGATAGAGATAGGCAGATGATAGAGATGAAGATAGAGATAGACAGATGATAGAGATGAAGATAGAGATAGGCAGATGATATATGAAGATAGAGATAGGCAGATGATAGAGATGAAGATAGATATGGACAGATGATAGAGATGAAGATAGAGATAGGCAGATGATAGAGATGAAGATAGAGATAGGCAGATGATAGAGATGAAGATAGAGATAGGCAGATGATAGATGAAGATAGAGATAGCATAGCATAGCACAGCATAGCATAGAGATAAAGATAGATAGAATTCTTTATTGGCCAAGTGTGATTGGACACACAAGGTATTTGCCTTGGTGCAAATGCTCTCAGTGTACATTAAAAAAAGAGACATTCGTCAAGAATCATCAGGTGCAACACTTAATGATAGTCATAGGGTACAATAAGCAATCGAATCATACTAGGAAACAGTCCATATAAATCGTATGGATACAAGCGACAAAGGTACAGCCATACAGTCACAAGTGGAATGAGATGGGTGAAAGGAAGGATGGGAGGATTAATAGTAATAGTAGGGCAGACTTTGTAAATAGTTGGACAGTCTTGAGGGAATTAGTTGTTTAGCAGAGTGATGGCATTTGGGGGGGAAACTCTCCTTGTGTCTAGTTGTTCTGGTGTGCAGGGCTCTACAGCCTCGTTTTGAGGGAAGGAGTTGAAGCAGTTTATGTCCAGGATGTGAGGGATCTGTAGATATTTTCACATCCCTCTTTTTGACTCCTGCAGTATATACAGGTCCTCCATGGAAGGCAGGTTGGTAGCCATTGTTTTTTTCTGCCATCCTAATTCCTCTCTGGAGTCTGTGTCTGTCCTGTTGGGTTGCAGAACCAAACCAGACAGTGATAGAGGTGCAGGTGACAGACTCAAAGACAACATTGTTTTGGTTAACTCCCACTGAGCAAAATTAGTTTGAGTCTTGAATGCCCCAAAACTGTTGGGTATCCTTTGAGGTTTCAGACACAAATATGCCAGAGGTCCTTCCTAAGGTCTCCTGATTGAGCAGGGGGTCGGACTAGAAGACCTCCAAGGTCCCTTCCAACTCTTATTACTCTTTGATTAGATCCACAACTGGCCCTGTGGAACTGCAGGGGCATCTCTAGCTTAGCTTTCCCTGGCTGACTTCAGCCTAGATGTCCAGCTTCCGGAGCCTATTGGCACCAGACAACAAATGAGCGTCGCAATAGTGCCACCTCCTGCCTCTGAAATGCAATATCACTAGTCCTTGACTTGCAAGCATTTGTTTAGTGACCGTTCAAAGTTAGAACAGCACCAAACAAAATGGCCTTTGTGCAGGACTAGAACTCACTGTCTCCTAGTGATTGGCTTAAAGTTGGCTTTCATCTCTTAACGCAGTACCGGAACTCACTATCGCCTGGTGATTGGCCCAAAGTCATCAAGCTGGCTTTTGTCCCTAACGCGGGACTAGAACTCTCTGTCTCCTAGTGTTTGGCCCAAAGTCACCTAGTCAACTTTCATGACTAAGGCAGAACTAGAACTCCCAGTCTCCTGGCAATTGGCCCAAAGTCACCCAGCTGGCTTTCATGCCTAAAGCGGGACTAGAAATCACCATCTCCAGGTGACCGGCCCAAAGTCACCCAGCCAGTTGTCATACCTAAGACTGAATTAGAACTCACTTTTGCCTGGTGATTGGCCCAGAGTCACCAGGTGGCTCTCATGCCTAAGGTGGAACTAGAAGTCACCCTCTCCTGGTGATTGGCCCAAAGTCATCCAACCAACTTTTGTGCCTAAGGCAGGACTAGAACTCACTGTCTCCTGGTGATTGGCCCAGCATTACCCAGTTGGCTTTCATGCCTAAGTTGGGATTAGAACTCACAGCTGGTTTCCTGCCTGGTGCCTTCACCACTAGACCAAGCTGCTTTTCAAAAATTTGAGGCTCTTAACTATGTTGAACTTCCATTTTTAGGGAACAGTTTGGGCCATAAGATGGAAGACGTGAACGAGGATACGATCGGAGTCCTGGTGCGGCTGATCACGGAGAAAAAAGGTGACGGTCTCTTTCAGAGAACAGATAGCAGATAATCAGAGTTGGAAGGGACCTTGTAGGTCATCTAGTCTAACCCCCCACGCAAGCGGGAGAACCTACACCATATCTGACAGATGGCAGTCCAGTCTCTTCTTGAAAGCCTCCAGGGATGAAGCTCCCACAACTTCCGAGGGCAACTTCTGTTCCCTTGGTTGATTGTTCTCATTGTCAGAAAGTTTCTCCTTATTTCCAGGTTGAATCTCTCCTTGTTCAGTTTCCATCCATTATTCCTTGTCTGGCCTTCAGGTGCTTTGGACAATAGCTTGACCCCTTCCCTCCTCTCTGGGGCAGCCCCTGAAATATTGGAAGACCTCTATCATGTCTCCCCTGGTCCTTCTCTTCACTAGACTAGCCAGGCCCAGTTCCTGCAACCGTTCTTCATATGTTTTAGTCTCCAGTCCCCTCATCATCCTGGTTGCTCTTCTCTGCACTTTTTCTAGAGTCTCAACATCTTTTTTATAATGTGGTGAGCAAAACTGGATGTATACTCCAGGTGTGGCCTTACTAAGGTTTTACAGAGTGGTATTAGTACCTCCCTTGATCTGGATTGTATCCCTCTGTGAATGCAATTTAGGATTGCATTAGATTTTTTGTCTGCTGCTGCTGCACACGGCTGGCTCCTATTTAGCTGGTTGTCCACTAAGACTCCAAGAATGAATGAATGAATGAGTGAGTGAATGAATGAATAAATGAATGAATGAATGAATGACTTCTCGGCCCTTTCCCCAGATTTGGGTGTGTGTGTTTGTGAGTCCTGTCAATTTTGCAGGGCTGTCAGTCACTCTTTGGGAGGGCTGGATGGTTCATTGCATTTTTTTGCAAGGGATAATAAAATAATCTAATAATTGAGACCAAAGGTTAAGGAGACCCCAGACCCACAATGCTCCTCCTCATTTGTAGCATTTGGACCGGGTGCCGAATCATTGGACTTTTCTGTTTCTGCATCACAAATATAGTGTGTGTGTGTGTGTGTGTTTGTCTGTACACAGGTATTCCTCAACTTCTAGCCATAATTGAGCCCGCCCCAAATTTCTGTTGCTAAGTGAGAAATGGGTTGAGTGAGTTTTGCCCCGTTTTACGATCTTTCCTTGCCACGTTTGAATCACTATCAAATTTCTTAACAACCGGTTCTGTGGACATGGCCTAATTTATGGGTGTGGCTTGGTGGTCATGTGACTGGCTGGGCATGCCTTGTATGTAAATATTGTAAATATTTATGTAAATATTGTTTTATTTTTAAAAAAAGAGAGCAACTTTTACCCAAAAGCAGGCAAAGCAGGCAGGAAGATTGAGTTGCTCGCAGAATCACAGATTCATTCAGAGATCTATCTATCTGCCATCGGCTAGCTCAGTCTGTCACATAAAATTTGCTTGCAAGCAAACTCACAAAATTAACTCACAACACACCATGTATGAAAATATGGAATTTTTCATTAAAAAAAGAGCAACTTTTACCCAAAATGAGGCAAAGCAGGCAGGCAGATTGAGTTGCTCACAGAATCACAGATTCACTCAGAGATCTACCTTTCTGCCATCTGCTACCTGAGTCTGCACTGAAAAATAGAAGCTTCGGTCCTAAGGAAAGTTCAGCTCTGCTTTTAGATTAGCTAGAAAGCAAGAAATCTAACGATTTCCTGCCTTTTAGCTAATCTAAATCTCCCGGCACAGAAGAACAGTTGATGGTCAGGGAGGGGAAAAAAGGAATAATAGCAACCCAGTAGCCATGTTTGATGGCATGCATGCTAGGTAAGGAGTGAGTAGGAGGGGAGGGAGAGGAGGCGCCAGCCAGTGGCACGATTTACCGGTTCTCCAAACTGGGCAGAATCATAACAACCGGTTCTATAGAACCGGTCCGACCAGGTAGAATCCCACCCCTGATCAAGTTTCCCCATTGACTTTGCTGGTCAGAAGGTTGCAAAAGGGGATCATGTGACCCCAGGGATGCGGCAACTGTCATAAATACGAGTCAGTTGCCAAGCGTCTGAATGTTGACCATAAATCACTTTTTTCAGTTGTAACTTCGAACAGCCACTCAATAAAAGTTGTAAGTTGAGAACTACCTGTGTGGGAAGGAAGCATAGAGGGGCACTGCAACCGGGGTGGGCTGCTGGGGGTTTGCAGGGGCTCTCGAGAGCCCCTAACTAAGACTCTGCGGGGCTTGGAGAGCCCCCAATCACCTCACAAAGACAAGCAGCCAGGCAAAGCTCTCTTAATAGGCTTAATTGAACTTCTGGGCGTTCAGCCAAAAGCATTTCACACCTGGTAAAAGCGTGGCAAGCTAGATAAACAATCCACTCAGCGCTTGCTTGTGAGGGAGAGCCATGGAGAAAATCGGATAATATAGCCTCCGCGGGGATTAATTCCCAAATAATAAGAATCCTGTAACTCACCAGAAACTCTATTAAGACTCTCTCAAGATCCTTCTCACAGCCATGGCTATTAAGCCTGGTTTCATCCAGTCTTTAATGCACAAAACAATAAACAACGTTGTGTGTGTGTGTGTGTGTGTGTGTGTGTGCAGATTTGCAATTCATTTCACGCAGAAGCGCTGGATGGTTTTAGCCGCCATCCAGAAATCAGGGTTTTAGGGTTTTTTTGCTTTCAGATGTAATGGAGATGTCATATCTTTCTCTGCTTTCATCTCCTTCTTATTGTTGCTAAAAACCTTATTTCTCCCCCCCCCCCAAATTCGTTGCCCCCAGAAAACGCAGCTGTCCTAGAAGAGATGCTGAAGGAATACAACAGCAAGCAACTCACACAGCCGATTTACAAACCTGTGAACAAGTAGGTCACCCGCTTTCCTTCTGCCTGGTGCAACAATCTCGGTTTTTGTAGCCTTTCAGCCCCACAATAGGTAGGTAGGTAGGTAGGTAGATGGATGGATGGAGGGAGGATGGGGGAGAGAGAGAGAGAGATGGATATAGAGATGATAGATAGATAGATAGATAGATAGATAGATAGATAGATTAGATAGATAGATAGATAGATAGATAGATAGATAGATAGATAGATA